TTGTTCAAAAATCCATATCTTTCACAAAGTGATTTTATAAAAATAAATAACTAAGTTAAAACTCATAAGTGCAGAAAATCCTTACCTCAAGTTTAGAAGATGGAAGAGAATAACTCAAAAAAACTCAACGTCAACAAAACCACGAGCCACTCGGATTAAAAGTAAGCCCTTGAGACGATCTACTATCTATTTCAAAGGACCAAGATGAGATGGCACTTCTAAGTGAGTAGATCTAAAGATCTAAGTGAGAAAAAGTGAATTTTGAGAGAAAAAAAGAGAGTCACGGGTGAGAGGGGAAAAATAAAAGGGAAAATAATAAAATAAAAGTGTTTTGGAACCTATTTATAGTGGCTAGGTAATAATAGAATAATAGCTCCAAAGTCAAATGAAAAGAACAAGTCAAAAATCCCCATAAAGTAGGGCCCAAACTGAACAAAATATGGAAAAAGACTCACGGGGGTCGGCCCTCGCGACAGTGATGTAGATCCTTAGGAAGAAAAGCTGAGACACTAATGTTTTGCAACAGACAATGGTCGACCCTAGGAGACAGTGGTGTCGACCCTATTTTTCAGAATGCAACCCATAACAAAATAGTAAGGAGAGGGTCAACCCTTAGAACTAGCGGTGTCGACCCTATATTTCAGTATATAGCTCAGGATAGAGCAGCGATGAAAGGGTTGACCTCACCAAGACTGGTGTTGACCCTAGAGGCCAATAACATGGTAAGTGTCGACACCTCTAAGCCTGGTACCGACCCCAAATTTCAATAGCCACCCAAAGGTGTAACGCGCTCAAAATAATACATAATTCCCACATCCGATCCTTCCATAAACATGATAGATAGTTTATATTGTCATACAAACATCAGAGTTAATATTACAAAAGTATATTTCGTATTAATTACAAATGTTCACAAAATTAACAGAATGCCCTGCAGGCTTACATCTTTCCAAGTCAACACTTGGTTACAAAAAGAGAGTACTAACTCTACACAAATAAGCCCTTGGCTTGATATACATGTAATACAACAAAAACAACACAAAGAGTCTGACAGCCTCAAGCCTCCCAAGCTACGTCCTTGAAGGTGGCATAGCACCTGTTCCTGAAAAAGATGTTCCATATAGGGTGAGCCAACGCCCAGTAGAGATATGCTAAACATAATATGAACAATAACTAAAACATTAGCACCTGACAAGCGTTAACTCATATAAACCAACCTACAGTACAATCCAGTTCCATAATCCTTCACTTAACAAAACTCAACTTATAAACATGGCTCAAACCCTGACCGAACAACTTAAGTGAGACTACATCTCATGCCGACAATACTTCAAACTACCATTTCACGAAAATTTCATCCGCGGGACTCGGTACCCATGTATAGATATTTTCGGATTGTCATTTTACGAAAATTTTGTCCGCGGGACTAGACACCCATGTATAATTATGTTTGAATTGCCATTTTACAAAAATTTCGTCCGCGGGATCGGCACCCATGTATTCAAATACTCATCATATACAATGACAACCAATACACTAATTGATTAGTTTTAATTCACCTAATCATCATGTAGTGTCTACAATAATCAAGACTGTCCTCCACCGATAACCCAAAGGAGTTATTTCTAAACAGATAATAAATGCACCGACAGATAAATTATTGACATTTTCAAAAGTGAGCGATTAATAAATCCAATTCCACCATTCTATCTCATAATGAGCCAGTTTCATTATTCCCAACTCAATTTCATAATTCCATAACAAATGTCATTAATTACATTAATGACCTAAATATACCCAAGCATGGCAATTTTTCCCCTTAAGCTCAATATTGACCCATAGGTCCAAATATTATTAACAACACCAATAATCTCATCTCTAGACCCAAATACACCTGTATAGGCTCAAAATACAAAACCCCTCTTATATACATTTTGAAAATCCTAACACCCAAAATTACCCAATATCAATGTTAAATCAAAATGACTAATAGTTTATGTCAAAGACCATAAAAATGAGTAGTTATCCCTACCTCAAACTCGGAGCTCAAAGGGAGAAGATGATGAAAACTCAAAGTGCTCCAAATCCCAAGATTTTCAGATAGAAATGTAGCCCAAGCTAAGCTCTACACTTTTTACAAAGGCCGGAGGGTAAAGGATCACTCCTACTAGATCAATCCCTAGAGAGAATGTGAGTTTTTAGAGAGAGGAGCTCTCCAATGGAGTTTTGAAAAAGTAAGAGAGAGAAAGGAAGTCAAAAAGTTATCCAAAAAGGTGAAGTCTCGAAGTGATATACAAACAGGTCCGCTCGAGCGGAAAATAGGAAGCTCGAGCGTCAAGCACAAAAATTGGACCCGCTCGAGCGCAAGAATACCTGCTCGAGCGCCAAGACACAACTGCAAAACACACCCGCTCGAGCGCGAAAGAAGGTCCGCTCGAGCGTGGATTCACCACCTCCAGTACTTTCACAGACACAGAACACCCGCTCGAGCGCAAAGAGACCCGCTCGAGCGTGAAGAAATCCGCTTGAGCGTGAAAAACAACCCTGCAGTACTCTTGCAGAGGCACATATACTAGAAGTGTGCAAACTCCGCTTGAGCGCAAATATACCCGCTCGAGCGGACAACAAAAAAAAAACAAACAAATTCCGCTCGAGCGCAAAAGTACCCGCTCGAGCGTACCACCAAAAATCTGGGCAACAAGGAATGAGACCAAAGCTCAACCAACCTGTAACAACTCTGCCCAATACATCCTAAAACTCAAATATAAGAAATCAAAGGATGACAACAAGACATAACAACAGTCAATACTACGGAACCTAAGCCCTGAACACTGAACATAAAGGGGGTAAATCCTGGGATCGCTATAACCTTCCCCCCTTAAAAAATTTCGTCCCCGAAATTAAGTACAAGTTTTTAAAAATAAGTTTTCAAAAACAAGGTGGTGTCGACACCACTAAAGCTGGTGTCGATCCTAGGAGCCGAACAAAACACAAGAAAGAAGGCAGTGTCGATACCACCAAGGATGGTATTGACCCTCAAGCCAAAATCCAACAAGAGAATAGGGAAGTACGGCCGCTACGGATATGGTTCCCGAATTCAAAGGCAATAAATGGATCGAGTCTAAGCCTAGATCGCTATAAAAATTGTCCATTTAAATCTTGATCTTCTTATATAGTTTCATTTTCAACGACCTATCTATTTTTGTTAAGTAAAATTGACAAAAGAAAATATGTATTTTTGTTGAATAAGCAATTCAGATATTTATTTATACTATTATAAATATAAAATGATATTTAGACATTATACTCACCATTTCTTTATACACCTACCTTTTCATATGCTTCAATTCCTCTCTCCTACACTACCAGCTACGCCACTCATTAGCGGTGCCATTTATCCTTACTTCACTACAACTTTTCTCCTCCCTATGATCCACCACTCCTGCCTTGATCTAGATTCATTACCCTCATCTCTCATTTCTTTTTCTCACATGACTGGCCACTCCAGTTACTCTACCACAATGCAACTCATACATCTCACTCCCATGTTTTCCCTTCTTAGCGTCATTTCACACATTTTTTCCTTTCCTTTGTACCATTCTCATTCCTCCATCATGTTCCCACTTGACAATAATGACTTCTCTTCCCTTTCTCAACTATTACCAATTAACAAACAAATCTTAACCATGCATAGAAAATCAGGGAATTGAGAGAGAGAGAGAGAGAGAGAGAGAGAGAGAGAGAGAGAGAATGGGTGGCACAAGGCTTCGATCTATAACTTTAATCACTTCCAAACTTCAATCTACAAAGACCACCCTAATCTATAGCAAGTTGTACAAATCACATACAAATCGCAACCTATTGAGAAATTGAATGTAGTTTTTTACAACAAGATTTTGGTTGGTCGATCTACAACTTCGTTATAGTGGTTTATGATTGTGTACATTGGATAAGAGCTTTGTTCATCACTTAGTGATTGAGAAATATATACGGTAGTGACGATGGAAGAAAAGAAGGGCAATGGTGGTAATCCGTGGTAGGTGAGAAAATGAAGAGGTTACATATGTAGAAAAGATGATATAGAGGATGAAGGGTGGTGCTGCTAGTTCTGGGAAAATTATTTAATATTTTCGGAGTACCACGTGTCTGTATTTTCTAACCAATCATCATTCAATATACTCCACCATGTTCTCCAATCACCAATACAATACCCTACTTACCCACATTCTCCACCAATCATAATATTATGGAATATAAATGTCCATGTTCCGAAATTACTGAATAATTACCTCCAGTTCTGACGATGAGAAGCCATGTATGGACTAATCTTAAAATCATAACAAGATAAATGATTCATAATGATTGATTATTGATAATTAAAAAATATATTGTGGTTAAAATAAAATAAAAAAAATTATAATAAATAAAAAGAAGGAATAATAATTGAGAAATTGATATGTGGTGTATCCAAAGTTTTTCACTGTTAGATCTGTACGGAAGATAGACGGATGATAAAAATTGGTATAATATTAAAATATGGGGACTTAAATTAAAAATTCAAAAAAACTAGGATAATTTTTCTAGAAAACAAGTTATCAAATTGTTAATATTATTTTTATTTTTGATTTTGTTTTATGAAAACATAGAACCGTTTTATGAAAATTAAAAAAAATTACTGTGTTAAAATAAAAAAATTTGTAATAAATTAAAAGAATGAATAACAAATAAGAAATTGATTCGTGTGTATCCAAAATTTTTCACAGTTAGATATGCACGAAAACAGACGTTTGATAAAAATTGGTATAATATTAAAATTTTGGAGCTTAAATTAAAAATTATTAATATTATTTTTATTTTTGATTTTGTTTTTTGAAAACATAGAACCGTTTTATGAAAACAAATCCAAAATAATGTAGAGGAAGAACAGACCACTTCGTCTTCTGCTGCTTCTTCGCCTTTTCTTTTGGCTGACTGGTTGCTTCTCGCAGAAGGTTCTTTTCGCAATAAAAGATTCTTTTTCATCAGAAACTAGGAGATACACGAACCTTTCTTTACACACATATATTCTACTTATACAATACAATAATATTAAACACACACACGCATACATACATACATACAAAGGGTTTCGTGATAAAACTTTTTTCTCACCCAATTCTCTCCCTTTTCACGTCATTGATTGCTTCTGATTAGCTTCGCCGGCAGTTAGAGATTATCTTTGAACCCTGTTTTCAGATTATCTTCTTTCCTTGTTTTTGTTCTTTTGTGCCTTGATTGAATTTGGTGTTTTTGGTTTTGATTGCAGGAATTAATTGATTTTAAAGGTTTTTTGGGGCAAAGGTAGGGTTTTGTTGATGATATCATTGGTGGGTTAGTCAAGATTCGGGCCCTTTTTGCAGATTTCTAAGGTGGGTCGGACTTAATTAGGGTTTTTTGAAAAAAATTTTGGTTTTTTTTTTTTTAATGATTTGCTTGGTGGGTCTGAGATATTTGGCGTTTCATTGAGGATTCAAGTGTAAAATTGGAATTTTTTTTGGATAAGATCGTTTGTGGGGTTTGTTGAGATTTGGGCTTTTATTGCAGACATCAATGGTGGGTTGGAAATAATTGGGGTTTATCGTGTGCAACGGTCTAGAATTGGAAAATTTTTCTAGTTGGGTGAGAACGAATCGGGGAAGAGATTCTGAGAGCCTTTTTTGACGATTTTACGATCTTGAACTTGAAAATCTCTTTGGTTTTGGTTGTTAGCTTGTGGTAATTGTGCTTGTGCCTGTGCTTGTGGGTGTGGATATCCATTGTTTCTTGGGGGAAGAAAAAATGAGTTCAAATGTTTCAGAAAGTGTAGTTCAGAGAGGCTCACTTGTGGTTCATATTGCTGAGAATGGGCATTCGTTTAAACTGGAGTGTGATGAAAACACCCTGGTCAAGGACGTCCAGCGGTTCCTAGAATCTGAATCTGGGATTCACTTAAATGACCAGCTTCTTTTATGTTTGGACATGAAGCTCGAGTCGCAACAGCCACTTTCAGCCTATAAATTACCATCTGATGACCGAGAACTGTTCTTGTTCAATAAGGCGAGAATGCGAAGTAATTCAATGCCTCCTGCTCCTGAACAAGTTGAAATAGTCGAATTACCGGACCCTCCATCACCATCCTCCTCCCATAACCCCCATCCACTGGATGATGCTTTGGACCCTGCACTGAAGGCATTGCCTTCTTATGAGAGGCAATTCAGATACCATTACCAGTGTGGGCATGCTATTTATAGCCGCACCCAAACGAAATTTGAGGCTTGTGAGAAGTTCTTGAGAGAGCAGAAGGTGCAAGAGAGGGCGTTGGAGATCGCTCGGGGTAATTTGGATCATTTCTATGGGTTGATTCACCAAAATTACGTGGATTTCATGAAGTGTTACTTGCAGCAGCATCGGAGCCATTCCAATCTTCTGATGAATTTTGGGAGAGATATAGAGAAATTGAGATCTTGCAAGGTTCACCCTGCTGTACAAACTGCTGCACGCAAATGCTTACTTGATTTTGTGAAGGAAGAGAACTTGCGAAAGGTGGCAGAGGATTGTAGCAGTTCACACAGGCAATTTGAGAATAAGGTTTCAGAATTTAAACAGGAATTCGAAGAACTAAAGCACAGTGTTGAGAAGTTATTTAGTAGCAATGCTACATTACTTATCAGGGACTTGGAACTTACTTTTAAGGAGCACCAGGGATATATTAATGAACAAAAAAGTATAATGCAAGCTTTGAGGTTCTCTCTCTCTCTCTCTCTCTCTCTCTCTTATTGGTGCCTTTAAATTCCTGTTTATTTGTTTTGCCTATTCAACTCTCTGGCTTGTTTGAAATTTTACATGGGTTAAGTATTCTTGTCATGTTGAAATCTGTTGGGATAGTCATGTTATACTTACTGATCGATTGACTGGTATTTTGCTTTTTGAGTCATAATACAGTGATGTTGAATATAGTGTTGTGGTGGCGTTTCATAATTTTTCCCTTTGTCTTTGTAAATACGTACTTATTTAATAATTCACACGTGGAAATGTAACATGGCTCATTGTCTGTATGGTGCAAGATACACGGTAGTTCCCAACAGCTCAAGTGACCTGTTGAATCTAATTGGTTTTTTGCATGTCATGGATTGGGGTCAATAGTTTATGAAAAAGTTTTGCAGAGAGACCTGCTTTGCTTTGATGCCCACGATTTGCAAAGTGAGATGAGAGTAGAGAAACTGACATCTTTATAGCTTCTTTTGGGAACTTGGCTTTTTTAGTTGCTTTTCTTTTCTTTTTTTATTTTTTTTTATGATATGAAAAAGGTTAGCATGTTTGGGATAGTTTTTTTTAGTTAAACAAATGGTTGTGAGGTAAAAAGTGATTGATTAATGTGTAGGATGTGACATTTTGATTTTTTTGTGGCTTTTTGGCTATTTTAGCCAAAAAGCTTCCCTCCAAACGGTGTATTTAATATGTTGAGGTGGGAGTTAAGTTCATAATTTTGACATTTTCCAAGATGTGCTGAAGGAAGGAAGAAAAGTTAGGGGATAAACAAGAAAACAAATCGAAGGAAACACAAGCTGTAAACTCAGGCATTGGAATATTTGTTGATATTGGCGATAGTCTGTATAAGAACTTTGGGGGCTGGGGGCTGAGGAGGGGAGAGACAAGTTAGTTGAGTGTTGTATTGACCTAATGTTATTGTAGATCTCATAAATTTGTTATTTTTCTATCCATGTGCACATCTAGTGAAAATAAAAAAGGAGACAGACTAATGAGGTTCTACAGCTACAGCCAGTGTATAACTACTACAAGCTTATCATTGTCATGTTGGGCTTCCTGTGATTGCTTCAGATGACTGAAAGCTGTTTAGAAGAGAATTTTTACCTATGTGCACCAACAGAATTATAGAGTTGTTTGGTAGACAGTTTTTACAGTTTTTACACCAACAGAATTATCTGATGTTAACCAGTTCATTGGGTAGATTCCTACATGTTGTGAGATCATACTGTGTCATCCCAGTGTGCGAATTCCTATGTGTCATAATACAACGTTATGACTGATACCATGCCATTGCCCAAGTAAAACACTTAAATCACTATTGGGGCCTTTCTATAGAAGGTATTCTAAAAGTGGTTTAAGAAAGCATTGTGCAATGAATGTATATAAAAGAACACCAACATATATATGTACGAATATATATATATATATATATCAAAAAAAGAAAGCGCTGTGCAATGACAAAATCTACACATTGTGTTTACTTTTTCATTCTGTGGTGTAATTCCTTCCTTAACTCATTAAATCTTATGTTTAATTCCCTAGCAGAAGCCTGATCCTAAGCAACTCAACTAATGTACAGATACTGTTAGATGAGCCACATCTAAGGCTGAAAAAGAACTAAGCTCTTGTTGAACAGATTGGGATTCACTTGGTTAAGTACTGGTTCTTATTTGTGCCAACATGCAATGAACAAGCTTGGGCAATACTTTTGGGCTTGCTTTCCCATTGAGCTGGTCGTGAGCAACCTTTGACTCAGCTTGTTCTAGCCTGTGGACTTTAATGGAATAACAACGTGGGATGTGATTTTAAAGTCATTATCATAGTTGGTCATGTGTACAAGGGTTTTGGGTTCACTTAAGCAAGAAAATTGACTAATGGAAAGACTAAAAATGAAGAAAAATGGGATGCTTACGCATCTCAACATCATATACACATAATTGCTATTTTATCTTAGAATGTGAATTTTCTCTGGATTCTCTCTCACTACTTTCATTTTTCTTCTAGAGTCTTTTGACCTATCTTATTCAATCTAGTTGTTTTATTTTATTTTTTTTATAATAAGTAAAGGGGCTAGGTTATTAATCCACTTTAAGTTCAAATCATGGTAGATGATGACTTCTGTTGGCTGGCTTCCTTGGATCTGCTTTTCAGCTTCTAGACTGGAAAGCGTTAAGGACAAGGAATTGATGATAATGGTGGGATATGAAGATTTCTAAGGGCTTTTTTTGGTTCTGTCTCAAAGTTGAAGGGACTCTAAAATGTCTCCTAGAGTTTACTTTAACTAGGTGGGTTGACATCTATTGATGATAATGGTGGGATATGAAGATTTCTAAGGGCTTTTTTTGGTTCTGTCTCAAAGTTGAAGGGACTCTAAAATGTCTTCTAGAGTTTACTTTAACTAGGTGGGTTGATATCTCTGAATATTTTTCATCTATGACTTGGAGGTGCAAGATTTGCTTGGAGGTAGATGAAGCTTAAAGGAGGCTGCCCTATGAGGGCCTTAATGTTTAGGTTTTCAATTGAGTAGGTAAAATTAAGGTTTAGGATTTGTTTAGGATTGAATTTGGTTGATGTTTAGGATGGGTTTTAGGCTGTAGGCAAAGATCCCACTGTAAACCCAAGCAGTCGGACAAACCCTATTAAATATTCTGAACTGTCTCAACTAGAATGAGCTCAATTTGCAATATTTACTTTTACCACTGACACTGCCTCCAAACATATCAAAACACATTGCAAATAGTTCAATGGTTACGTTTCTGCTCACAAAAAGCCAATGGCATCATCTGCAAGAAGAAAATGATTGATCTCCTCCACTCCCCCTCATCTACCTCTAACCCTAAAGGCTGTAATCAACCCTGTTTGCACTGTCCTAATCAATCATCCTACCCAACGCTTCCATGACCAAGATGAAGAGAAAAGCGGGTAAGGATCTCCTATCCCAAGCTCCTGGAACTAGTGAAATATCTTGATGGGAGTCATTCACCATAACTGAGAATCTCTGCAGTGAGAATCTGAGAGTGGAGATACACCATCTGATTTTATCTTCTATATTCCAGCCCAAAGCTCATTCTTTTCAACACATAGATAAGGAAGTCCTAGCTTACATGATGCCTTCTCAATATCGAGTTTGCAAAGGACTCCTGGAGTTCATTTCTTCAATATATAGTCCACGACACCATTAGTGATGAGGATTGTATCAATAATTTTATCCCCTACCAAAGCATTTTGAATTTCAGAGATCACACACTGAGAATTAGCCAATCTATGAAAGAACTTGGTATTTGTGTCTACTTCCTCCAACCATAAATCCCTTGCCATCTAATCTCTTCCGTAAGAATAACCCTCCCTATCTCTGCTTTGGCTTCTTCCTTGCTCATTGCTTCCTTCACAGTAAGACCACCTTCTTCCTCTTTCTTATCTCACCGCTGGATTAAGTGCAATACCAATCTCTTCCTGGTTCTATTTTCATTTTGATGTTTTGATTTTGTGTTTTGAAAAACAAAAATAATGAGAAGCTTGAAAACATAGGTAGTTATCATATTTGGGTGAAAGCAATTTTTGAAATTTAAGGAAAAAACACTTCAAATTGTTTCTTAAAAAAGGGGTGTCTTCAGATAATTTTCCTAAATAATTTGCCAAACAAATCTTCCCACCCCCAAGAATAGAAATCAGAAAATGAAACTAAACATGCCTTATAATCTCTCTAAGGTTTTCTAGGAATCTCACCTAGAACACACCATTGAAAGAGAGAAAGATTACGTTCATAAACTTCTATTAATTAACTAGTTGATTAGAAAGGTTGCTTTATAGAGAAGCCTAGTAGCTTTTAAAATTATTATTTTTCCTATTAGTATTGTGCAAATAATTTCCTAATTTATACTAAACTAAGATTCACTAAACTAATTCTGTCAAGAACTTCTGAAAAAGAAAAAGGACTCGACAAAACTTTTTTTAGGAAACAACCTAGAATCTTGGACATCAAACAATGATAAATTATTGAAATACCCTATTTTGTGAAATTAAAAAATGCCCATGATGGTCCATTCCCGTGACACCAATTGTGGCTTCACTAAATCAGATGAGAATTGCTTCCAATCACGTGACACCAATTGTAGGACCTATTGGTCCATTCATGGGTTCTACATGGCTATTTCTCTTTTTTCTTCTTCTGCAAGTACAAACTTCATGAAGCTGATCCTCTCATGGTCGGCTCTTTCTTCTTCTTTATGTTCATTTTCTGTGGTTCCATGTCTAACCGAACTGAAGCAAGGTGAGATTGAGCTTGTACAAGGTTAAGCGGAACTTGAACAAGGTTTCTTGAAGGTTGCACAAAATTCAAGTAGAACCTGAATACCATGCAGTCTTTGCTGTGCTGAACTGAGTAAGCTGAGTCCAAATAGTCAAATTTCTGCTGGTCTTGTTCAACATTCATAGGTATTAGCACTTGTAAAGGAAACCAGCTGAAGCTTCTTCTCCAATATTTGGCTACTCTCACCTTTTGTTAGAAGTTTTGAAGTTCTTTAAATCACCCAAGTCATCTAATTGTGAGTCATTAGGATAAGAAAAACCTCCGATATCCTACGTTGGATTGTTGGAGGTGTTTATAGGATCGGATCGTAGAATCGGATCGAGGATCGTAAGATCCTACCGAAAAAGACAAATTACATAATCATTTAATTTAAATAAATATTTCTTATAAAGTATACACAAAATGAACTTATATTTTATTAAAAAGAAGTGAAGATATTGTGAAAAATATAATACTCCATGTAAAATGTACATATAATATTATGCAATAGAAAACTCGATGGTAAAAGTTCTGTATTTTATCAAAAAAGAAGGTGAAGAAGAAGAAGAATTCTATAACAAAATACTTTACAATGTACAATAATGCATAAAAAGTGAAGAAAAAATATTTAACAAAATTGGATATGAAAATAGATTAAGAACTCAAAAGAGTAGCTTAGTCGAATGATAAGGTTTGTCGTTAGCATCCCTGGTGGAGCGGATTCGAGTCACAAAAATAATTTCTCCAGAAATTGGGAAAAAGTTACAATCATCTTACCCTTCTTAGACTCCGCTAAAGCTAAGTTTGTTTTTCCGACTATTTAATTTTCTTAAATTACCGCAATATTTGAATGTTTGTTTCCTAGTTTGTTTTTCTTAGTCTATTTGATTCAATACTACTTAATTTTTATTATTTATTTTGACAACATAAATTGATATTTAGATAACAAATATAAAATTTACAACAAAATATGTCATACAATACAAAACAAGGCTTGTAAATTGGATCGGATATGATCGGATTCGGATCGGGATTCCACGATCCTATAAGATCCCACTACCAGGATCGAAAGATCCTACCTATAAAGAGTTTTTTACACGATCCGGATCGATTGCACTCAAATGGATCGTAAGATCGTAGGATCGTAAGATCCGGATCGGGATTCTGATAACCATGGACCATATATATTTTTTTGCATGCACATACCTCTATGTATCGCACAGTATGGTATCCAAATTTCTCTTTTTCACGATGTAGAAAGATCTGGATCTTCAATGTGATTTAAAAGCTTTGTACTTGAATTGATGATTATGTTTCCCCTATTTGAAATATTTGTAGCTAGTTTTAGTTATCTTTCGTTTTAAGGATTCAGAAACTTATTAGTTTATATTGAACTGATGCTGAAGCTGCTTGAAAGTAAGATAATGTTACTTGGTACTACTATTGTATTGTTAAGATCATTCCAGAAAGTGGTGTCATTTATGCTAAAATTTCGGGCTATGCCCTATTAACCTATATTATTAGGAATTCCTTATTGTCCTTGTGCATATATCAACACTATCGAAATTTTTCTGTGTTGTATGTGTATATATTTTGCTTTGATATATTCTTACAGTTGTGCAAGTGGGAAATGTTATCTGTGTAATTCTAAAAAATAAGTATTCGTATTTGTGCAGCAAAGATGTAAATACAGTGAAGAAACTTGTGGATGACTGTCTGACCAGCCAATTGTCCCCTTCCCTCCGTCCTCATGACGCAGTTTCAGCCTTGGGTCCTATGTATGATGGCCATGACAAAAACTACCTTCCAAAGATGCATGCTTGTGACCGTGCAATTGCCATTCTGCTTAATATCTGCAAGGATAAAAAGAATGAAACAAACATCTTTGTGCATGATTACATGCAAAAGATAGCATATATTCAATACACCATCAAAGATGTACGTTTTAAGTTTTCGGTTTTCACAGAAGCAATGAATCGTCAGAGTGATCAATTTGAATACTTGAGGGTAGTCCGTGGGATTGGCCCTGCGTACAGGGCATGCCTTGCGGAAGTAGTGAGAAGAAAGGCTTCAATGAAGCTCTACATGGGCATGGCTGGACAATTAGCTGAAAAGATTGCAACAAAGAGGGAGGTTGAGGTCAGGAGACGGGAGGAGTTTCTAAAAGTACATAGTTCATTTATACCTAGGGATATTTTAGCATCCATGGGATTGTATGATACTCCTAGCCAGTGTGATGTCAATATAACTCCTTTTGACACTAATTTGCTTGACATTGACATATCCGATTTAGGCCGTTATGCCCCTGAATATTTAGTTGGACTGCCTTCAAAGAGTGAGAAGCGTGGTAGTTTGAAGAGTTCACTTTCCACGTCTCACAGTAGTTCTTATTCAGCTGAACTTGAAGAGAATGCCGTTGACTCTGAGAAATATGAGACGGAGGAGCTCCTTGAGGGTTCTGAGTTGGTGGAGATTGCCGGAACTAGCAAGTTGGAAGTTGAGAATGCAAAACTGAAAGCTGAACTTGCTTCTGCAATTGCCGTCATTTGTACCTTCAGCACTGAAGTTGAATATGAATCACTTGATGACAGTAAAGTGGATAGTTTGTTAAAAAATGCAGCGGAAAAGACTGCTGAAGCCTTGCATCTGAAGGATGAGTATGGGAAACATCTCCAATCTATGCTAAAGGTTAAGCAAATGCAATGTGAATCATATGAGAAACGGATTCAAGAATTGGAGCAGAGGTTATCTGATCAGTATTTACAAGAACAGAGGATTCCGGTTGATAAGATGGTGTCGAACTTTGCCCATTCAACTGTGAAGGCTGGTGATAGCAAGTCAGATATCTCGGGTGATTCAGAAGCCCACATGCCTTGCATACCCATGGATGAGGTTTCTTGTGTCTCTAATTCTTTGCTTGCCAAATTAGGGTTTTTCTCTAAACAGTCAGTCAAAGCTTCTGAAGGCTTGGATGAGAATATGACAGATTCCTCGTCAATGCTAAATCCTCAGTTAGATTCATCAATGCAGGAACCACCTCATGGTGAGGTGCAGGCCCATGACAAAGATGGGAAAGATACTATGGCTTCAGGTTTGGGCACACTGGCAACCAGTTGCACTTCTGAGATTATGTCTCAGCCCCTAACTAATTTACCTGCCGAAACAACAGCTGAACAGGGTTTAGATTCTAAAGCTAGTAGTGATCTGGTCCTGGAGTTGCAGAATACACTTGCTGACAAGTCAAATCAATTGAGTGAAACAGAAACTAAGCTGAAAGCTCTAGTGGAGGAGGTTTCCAAGCTTGAGAGGGAGTTGGAAATCAGTCGGAAGCTTCTGGATGAATCTCAGGTATTAGTGGTTGAACTGCAAATTTTCTCTTCTCACTTTGATTTCTCTAGAAAATTGCATCAGAACTAATTGAATCTTGATTTTAGAATTCTTTTCTTTTCTTTTTGTTTCTTACTAAACTTTTCTATTTGGTTATATATAAATATCTTGAGTTTGATTTTGGTGGTGTAAAGTAAGGAGATTCCCCATCCCTTGGTTAGTTCCTACTTTCAAGTTTCAAGATATTTACAGATTTGAACCCTGTTTTACAATCTTACTACGAATGGAATGACATTTAAAATGGAGATGCCAGGTTAGGTTTCACTCTTTTTTGTCAGGAAAAGCCATTTTTTTTTGATTGCATGTTCTCTATGAGAAATGCTATTTATCACCAGATTTTTTTCATGATTTTATTTTATCTCCCATGTGTTTTTCTTCAATAATGATGTGTATGTGTAGGATCCACCATATTAGAAAATAGTGGGACTTACGAGGTGAAGAGTTTTGGTGATACATCGCAACTTTCATTCTTTTTTCATTGACATAGTGTAATTTCTAATTCATGTTGGAAGCCAAGAGGTAGTTTTTGTTTTAATTTTTTATGTTTGGGTTGATATATTGTAACGTCCCCAAATTATTAACATTCAGTAATCCCGCATTAATCCGTCAATATGATCTAGTTTCTGCTTTATCACTTCCAGTATATGTAAACAGGATATAATACCTCATCACAAACATCATCATCAAATCTCTACACTTGTATTCATTGCACTCAGGAGGTTATCAAAAGTATTCCACATGCAATTATTCATTCAACATTTCCTAAAACATAAATCTATAGCATGTGGTGCTAAGAGTAAAACACAGAATAATGTCCCATGAGTTACAGGTTTTAAGGCTTATGCCCGGTTACACAAAATGGTTATCAAACCCATACATGTAAAGCGCTTGGCTTGTCAAAATAAAACCACAATCGTGAAAGAGCCTCGTACTCCCAAAACAACTCCCCACGCCTCCACTTCGGCAGGATCACAACTTTTCCTGCAACAAATCCACTAGGGGTGAGCATTAAGGCTAGTAGATAAATTTTAACAAAGTATATATGTGTTTTATACAATCTCAAGAGATGGATGCATATGCCATACCATGCCATGCCATGCTCAAAATACTTTATTTTTTCATTTGAAAATCTCATGCACGATGCTCTTTCGAAAACATAATTAATTCAATGATTTTAATATATAATCAAGGGGTGGCAAATGCGGCTTAGGTAATTCGTAGGCTGGTGTCTGCAAATAGGTCCTTAAGCACTACCAAAAACCACTTTACCAGCTCCTAAGTGGAAGGAACTTGGTACCTACTTCGCCCATGTTTTCGGATTTTCACCATGGACCTCAAGCCAACTTAATTCTCATCTCTACACACCCTATCCGGACTTACCAAACGTATTGGCCCCAAAACAAATCAAACGAAGGTATGTTTCACCAACAATTCTTTTCCAAAGTATAGCCTCAACAATGCTAATTTGAAAAGCAATGAGGATGAAATGAGATGACAATGCAATTTATCAGGACATTGAAAATTTCCACAATTTTTCCACCATTCCCAATCTCAACAACACAATTCTCAATTATGAATGAACATAACATTTCTATCCAACAAGTATATATATATACCAAACCAAACCAAGCCTTAAGTCCCATTCAAGTGTATATATATATATATATAAGATATATTTAAGTGCCATGGATTAACAACGACAAACACCATTTCCATTCTCTTAACACTAGCATATCAACATACTAAACTCATCAATTTTTCAACTTCTTCCCATTTCATGGGTATCCAACTATAACAATGAAAATGCCAAATTTCTTTATCATAACTCAACAATGAAATTGTGCAACACATGATATCACATTATTTCAACTTTTCTCCAAATTTTCCCAAAAATTTAGTGTTCTTACAAAACTAGCGTTTCTCATTTTTGAAAAGATTTTTCCCACAAAACTCTCAACCATCAATGTAGTACATATCCTTGAAGATTTGAAGAGAACATTTGAGAAAACCCTCTTTGAACAATGAACAATAAACAATCTCATATAAATCCAACCCTAACCTAATATCCACAATGTATATATATATCATCAAAATAGCCATATACTTGCAAAAATGTATATTTAACTCAAAGAATATCCCTACCTCAAGCTCTAGGAGAAAGATGAGAGAAAAACCCTAAAATTCCATGGAGTCGAAATCCAATCTCCACTACACAAAATGCTTTTCTCGGGATGCTCTCCAAAATGACCTCAAGAACTAGGGTCAAGAAATCAATGAATGTAGGTGAATGGAGAGATTTATGAGGGTTGGTGAGGGTTTCTCTTGAGAGAGATGAGAGAAAAGAGAAAAGTGGAGTGTGGAGAGAGGGAGAGGGAAATGAAAAAGTGAAGGACAAGTGGGTTTTGTGTCAGATTTTACGTGATTGGACACGAGTTTCAAAATTGAATTCAAACAGACTACTCGAGCGGTAGATCCTGCGCTCGAGCGGAGAGTTCAAACTCCCAGTATATCTCTCCTTTGTAGAACAGACCGCTCGAGCGGTAAAAACCACACTCCCAGCATCTCAGACTTCAGAACACAGAACTTGGTGGACTATAACACAATTTAGGAAAGTACCCGCTTGAGCGGACTTAGGTTTCAACTTAGGCCAAAATCAATCTTAGGGTATTCCCACCCTTCCCCGGTTCACTCTAACACCCAAGGACTCAAATCTCATCTTGGAAATACAATTTAGGATGAGAATGAACTGGAAAAAAAGAATAGATGGCTGCATGTGATTCATAGAGTTCAAAAGAAGTAAAGGTCCCAATATGGAATAGAAATTTTAGATTAACATTTCTAAGTTGGTTTAAAAAGGCTCCGGACATCATGTATATGGACTTATGGACTATAAAACATCAAAATCTTAATCCTTGTGACATACGTAGACCTATCAAAAAAAATAAAAGATAAGTAAATAAATAAATAAAGCAAAAAACCTGGGACAAACTTGGAGATTTATGTGGTGTGTTTGGAAGGAATATTTTTCTTGGTTACCATATTTTGCCAAAAGTTTAGCAAAAAAGAAAAAAACAAATTCTAGTCTATATGAATGAAAACAATAAAGTGATGCCTTGGACCAAATCATTTGGAATGGGATGGATTCAAATTATATTATTTGTTGCTCATTTTTTAACCACTTGCAGCTGACACAGCATCATTTTTTTCATTATAATGGACACTAAATGTATATCATGACTTCTCATTTGGAATCTATTATATTATTGGTTGAATGTTAGATCTGTACCTTGTCCAACCCTGCCAGACCACCATTAATGGGGGCTAAACTTGTACTTGAAAAAGGAAAAAAAATTAGTATGGTGTTTCTTCAGTAATTGTCATTCTCTCTGTGGTTCTTCCACATATACACTTAGAATCTTACAATTCATGATTTGATTCATACGATTTGATATGAGTTTCACTCAAAATGATTCGATTTGTGCAGTTGAATCTTAAATTAAGTGAATCTTATGATTCAATACGATTTAAGCGATTTATTTATGGCCTCATTTGGAAAGTGGCTATTTTAGTAGGCTATTTTAGTTTTTGGCTATTTTAAGTAGGCTAAAATTTTTGTGTTTGGGAAGATGATTGGATTTTTTTGTGGTTGGATGTGATGTTTGTGAGAGAAAAAGTGAAATGATTATGGGTTTGATGTGATATTTTGTCTTATTAGCTATTTTAGCCTATTTTGTCTTTTTGTGATTTTTAGCCTAAATTTGGCTATTTTTTTTTCTTCCCAAACACCCCCTATGTTTGCAAAAGAGAAAAGGAGAGAATTGCATGTTTTTGAAAGACGCAAGTATGATTTCCTTTAAAAACAATGAAATGGACACATTTCCCAATGCACACATGTTTCAGACTTCTCATTTGGAATCTATTATATTATTGGTTGAATGCTAGATCTGTACCTTGTCCAACCCTGCCAGACCACCATTAATGGGGGCTAAACTTGTACTTGAAAAAGGAAAAAAAATTAGTATGGTGTTTCTTCAGTAATTGTCATACTCTCTGTGGTTCTTCCACATATACACTTAGAATCTTACAATTCATGATTTGATTCATACGATTTGATATGAGTTTCACTCAAAATGATTCGATTCGTGCAGTTGAATCTTAAATTAAGGGAATCTTATGATTCAATACGATTTAAGCGATTTATTAATGTTTGCAAAAGAGAAAAGGAGAGAATTGCATGTTTTTGAAAGACGCAAGTATGATTTCCTTTAAAAACAACGAAATGGACACATTTCCCAATGCACACATGTTTCACTCAAAGACTCATCTTTTTGTCACTTTAAGTCAAGATAAGTTTAAAAATGGAAAACGAACATGTTTTTTAATGCTACTCAACTAAGGGCCTATGGGCACATTTTACAAGGCAAGAACTTGATTTTGTAACTTAATGAAAATTGACTAAGAAAAGTGATTTTGAAAATGAACCAAGTATGAAAATGAGTTTTCTATTAAAAATCCCATGCTTAGGTTAATTAGTTTGCACCTAATTAACCTTTAAAAATGATGACCACTTGGTTGGATAGTTCTTTTAATTGGGTAGATTTGTTACATTTACATCAATATTTATTGCATGCAGTAGCTAATTTACTTGATATCATTTTACAGATGAATTGTGCTCACTTAGAGAATTGTCTGCATGAAGCTAGAGAGGAAGCGCAAACCCATCTTTGTGCAGCTGACCGAAGGGCCTTAGAGTATAGTGCATTGCGTGCCTCTGCTGTAAAGATGCGTAGCCTTTTTGAAAGACTAAGGACCTGTGTTTCTTCAGGTGGGGTGGCTGGATTTGCTGACTCCTTGCGTGCTCTAGCTCAATCTTTGGCCAAGTAAGTTGTAAAAACTTGTTTTCTAGCATTTTTTTTTAACCTTTCAGTGAGTTTGTAGTGTTTCCTATATTATATTGGCATTTGATGTATGTTGTCGTTTCCCAAACTTTTCCTTGTTCCGTGCTTATTAGGTAGAGTCATTTTGAATTCATATACCTTTTTAAAATAGTTATACCATGTTGCATGGAGTTGGGTATTTGTCTACTGCAGGCATATGTGCAGCGTAGGATTCTTCTACATCCCCAAGTCCAAGGACATTGGGAGACTGCTAAATATCTGTAATATCTGTATTAATATTTTCACTCTCCAAGTCATAGAGTAATATTTTTTGTTCGTCTAGCATGAATCATTAGACATTAAGCATGAGCTTCACTCATTCTGAAGCAAAAAGTGACATTATTAGGAATTTTGATGTACTATTTTATAATATAGATTAAAAGTTACCCACATCCAATAAGACTTGTTGGACATGCATCCCAATCTCTTTCCCAACTGTTGTGCTCACCAACTGAAGTGTGTTTGACGCGTACTTTATGCATTTAAAGGAGACTATTTAATGTAGTTTTTACACGTGTATCTATATAGTTGTTTAAATGCTTTTGAATGACATATAAGAGTCATGCCCCCTTATGTGCGTTCAAGCTTTGTCAGGGTGTCGTTACTCCTTGAGGACAAGTGTTGAGTTTAAAATTGCAAGGTTTCAGATAATGTTGGTTTCACTCAAAGTTGTAAAAGGCGTGGGTTAAACTCTCGTTGTCTATTTATTTATTTTTGGATGGTAAATTGAGAGGGTAAAAGTTTCTGGAGTCTTTTTTGGTTTTTGTAGACATTTCAGATTCCAAGGTTGTGTTTATGTGTTACTTATTTGTATTAGTACACCATGTGTACTTGGATTTTGCCCTTGTCTTGGTGCTTGTAATGTTAAACGGGAAGAAAAGGGTTTGTTTATTTATAAAAAAACTTACTAGAAATGGAAAATGAAATCAGGAGAGAACATCCTTCTTTAATACATAAGGTAAACAAGTCAAATTCATTGACTTTTTTATTTTTTATTTTATTTTTTACCTTTTATTTATTTTTTATCTAGTGTATTTATTCCACCTAAAATATTTAGAATTTAGAAATGGGATTCATGAAATTATTTATAAATTCATATACTATGTGTATGTATTTATCCATATATATATATTTTAATTTGTTACTCCAAAGACTATTCATTTGTAGTTCATGATTTTTTACCAATATTTTTTTCTTGTTTTTGTTCTTCTGGCCTCGAAAACATGGAGAAATTGTGGCTTTGTTTGGTTTGTCTCTTGAGAGGCAATTTTGGAGACAAATTTTCAAAAATTTGTTTGGTTGAGAAATTAAAAAAAAAATAATAATAGTTTCAAAATCATTTCTCTCTCTACCACACATCAACTGATCACTTTTTCTCTCTCACCTCCTCTTCCCCTCACATCCCACATATCAATTAATCATTTTTTCTTTCACACCCATCTATTCAATTACATAATAATAATAATAATAATAATAATAATAATAATAATAATAATCCCAAACTTCAAAACTCAAAAACTATTTTCAAAACATACAATTAAACAAATTTTGTAAACTTTTTCCAAAAAATTATTTTTCAAAATTATTTCACAAATACAAAACAAACATAGCCGGTAACTTTTGACCCTAGAGTGGCACGTGGGGTGAACCTTTGCCTTTCTAGGCTCGTGGTGATTGATTGGAGTTCTGGGTTAGCAAGCCAATACTTGGGTGGCTCCTTGACTTTTCAACATGAATTTTTGCTATAAAAAGGAATCATTTATTTGAGATCACTAAATTAACTATGTAATGTTAGGTACAAAAGAAAAATATCCTTAGCCTTAGTTTAGTGTTAAAATAAAATTTAGGTTTTTGTTGTAATTTTTTTTTCAAAATTTTTTTTTGGTACATGAGGCGAGAAAAATATAAATGGCAGTGCAGTGCATGGGGCACAGGCCAATGCAGGGTTTGGGAAGGGTTAGATGTATGCTGTCTTACCCCCTACATGTTGAGAGACCGTTTTGATGTTTTGAACCATGACACTCAGGTAACCTTTTAGCAATCTTGCTCATACCACTAAGCCAAAGTCCACCCTTAGATGAAATATATGTATATATTCTCAATCCTACATTGGTTTGTCCAAGTAGGAAGAGTAAAAGAAGTTTAGTGTCTACAAGAAAAATGGATCTCTCTAGGCACGTTTATACCGTCATCACTTGCTTGAAGTACAAGCACGATATCAAAGGCTGCTGGCCAGTTTTTTTCTTCTCATTTTTCAATTGCTAATATATTGTTTGGTTAGGAATGACAAGGGAACAGGAACATTCTAAATTCTCCTTCGCACCATTTGGATATTAAAGTAGGAATGGAAGGGGACCCTATCTAGGCCACTACTAAAAGAGAAATGTCATCTATTTCCGGGATTTGTTTCACCCATTTATATCACTTCCTATGTGTATCAACATGACAAACACCATATGTATATGTATGACTTATCATGCTTAAAAAATAGTGAGACCCCCCATGCTACATGAGAAACCACGTAGGTGGAAAATTTTGGTGGTATATAGCAGCCCTTCTAATAGAATTGCCTCAAAAGTGAGGTAGTATGGAGCTCTTATGTACCAAGGAACAAACACAAACACAATATAATATGGTCCGAGTCAGGAAATCTTTTTCTGTCCCTTCCTTACTCTTCACTTCCTCTCTATAAACATACTGACAAAATGTCATGCCTTGTATCCTATGTATGTGATCATTTTTAATCTCTTCAAGAATAATCGGTCAGTTTGTAAAAGATTGATGTTTTGAGAGAAAAAATGTAAAAACGAGGATCGTGGCTTCCTCTGGTGGCCCCTCACAGTTTTATATCTCTCCAATTCCCTTTTTGTTTTATTTTTTAACTATGGAAATTGTTAGAAACCACGTAGGTGGAAAATTTTGGTGGTATATAGCAGCCCTTCTAATAGAATTGCCTCAAAAGTGAGGTAGTATGGAGCTCTTATGTACCAAGGAACAAACACAAACACAATATAATATGGTCCGAGTCAGGAAATCTTTTTCTGTCCCTTCCTTACTCTTCACTTCCTCTCTATAAACATACTGACAAAATGTCATGCCTTGTATCCTATGTATGTGATCATTTTTAATCTCTTCAAGAATAATCGGTCAGTTTGTAAAAGATTGATGTTTTGAGAGAAAAAATGTAAAACCGAGGATCGTGGCTTCCTCTGGTGGCCCCTCACAGTTTTATATCTCTCCAATTCCCTTTTTGTTTTATTTTTTAACTATGGAAATAATTCAATTTAGCCAACAGCAGCAATACTTTGCCTCATCCAATGTGATTAAAGCACCTTAAGTTATCAAACTTGCAAAGCTGGCATGAAGCTGAACTGTATTGAACTTAGAATCTAGCACTCTTGTGAAAAAGCATTTTAGTAGTCTTCATATGGTGGACTCAGTTATTTGTATAGTTATTTGAATATGAGTTGCTTTAAATTGCTTTCTGTTGTGATTTTTCAGTTCTGTCAATGATAGTGAAGATGATGGTACTGCTGAGTTTCGAGAATGTATCCGGGTATTTGCTGATAAAGTTGGCGTATTGTCAAGGCACCGTGCAGAGGTGCTTGAGAGGTATTCAAAGGCCGAAGCTACCAATGAGCAACTGAAAAAGGAGTTGGAAGAAAAGAAAGAGTTGGTCAGTGCTTTGTACATAAAGCATCAACATGAGAAGCAGGTAAATTTCTTGTTCAGTTTAACATCTTACCATTTATACAACTTGTAATAGGGTTCTTAGACAACCAAAAGTGGTGAATTCCGGGTTTGCTTGAACGAGTCTCTTTACCATGTATGTGGCTCACAAAGAGATCAGATATGGTTGTCAGTTGATGGCTCACATCTTAAAGGCGGGCTGGGTTACTGGGTGCTGAAAACCTTTTAAATTCATTTCATGAACAATTGTTTGGGATGAGTGCAAAAATTACCTCATATATGTAAAAACTTAACTTGATTCCTTTCCTACATGATTGCTTAATGTATCAAAGTCCTCATCATGACATAAAGGGGGAAGAAATTTGAAAAGCTTGGTAAAGGCCCCTTCACTACAAGAAAAAATACTTTTGGCGACCACCTATTTTTTTTGGTCGCAAATAGTCCATTTTCTGCGACTAAAATTTAACTTTTGGCGACCACAATTTTTTGGTCGCGGAAAATCACCTTTTGGCGACCAAAAAAAAGTTGGTAGCGAAAAGTATACCTATTGGCGACCAAAGGCTTTTTTGGTCGCGGAAGATCACCTTTTGGCGACCAAAAAAAAAGTTGGTCACAGAAAGTATACCCTTTGGCGACCAAAAAAAAAAGTTGATCGCGGAAAGTATACTATTGGCGACCAAAGGCTTTTTTGGTTGCAGAAGATCACCTTTTGGCGACCAAAAAAAAAAGTTGGTCACGGAAAACTATTGGCGACCAAAGGCTTTTTTAGTCGCAGAAGATTACCTTTTGGCGACCAAAAAAAAAGTTGGTCGTGGAAAGTTATGGCGGGATAAATTTTTAAAAAAATGATACTACTGTAATTACATGCTATTTTTTTTGTTTAGGCATTAAAAATTTATAAAATAATATATAACCCAATTTTTATGGGTTATATATATTTTTTGCCAAATATGAACAAGAAGCATGTTATTGGTAGAGTGGATTGGGTGCATTGTGACTCCTTGGTCAGGAGTTCAAGTCTCAGGTAGCACAAAAGAATTATTTTTTTTGGGTCAAGGCTCTAACTTTTGGCGACCAGCTTATCTTTGGTCGCTAAAAGTTTACTTTTGACTAATATGAATTGGACTTTCCGCGACCAAAAAAGTTAAAGTTTTATAAAATAATATATAACCCAATTTTTATGGGTTATATATATTTTTTGCCAAATATGAACAAGAAGCATGTTATTGGTAGAGTGGATTGGGTGCATGGTGACTCCTTGGTCAGGAGTTCAAGTCTCAGGTAGCACAAAAGAATTATTTTTTTTGGGTCAAGGCGCTAACTTTTAGCGACCAACTCGCGACCAACATATTTTGGTCGCGAAAAGGTTTTAGCGACCAAATATGATACTTTTTGCGACCAAAATGTTGGTCACGGAAAGTGTTTTTTCTTGTAGTGTTTTTTGGTTGATGCAAACAGTTTGAATATTGCCTCTTCTAATTTTGAAAATTTGAGTTTTATTGGTAGGTAAGCGGATTAGATATGCTAAAAAATAAAATAAAATGTTACAGTGAGGCTCGATACACCCCCATGGGGGACAAGAAAGATGGTTGAGCATGCCATCAGAACGAAGCATTCAAAGGGCTAGCTATAAAATAAACTCTCACTGATCGAGAGCTAGGCCAAAAGAAACTAAAGCTAGAGGATGAAACGCCTACTATTTCGTAGAAGGCCTACGACTAGATTTTTTAGACTTTGGTAAAGAGGTTAGCATTATCTCTCGCAAGCTAGAGGACAAAACGCCTACTGCTTCTTGTTCTCCCCTCTTGAAGATGGGCTTGTTCATGGAACAGCAAATGTTCCATCTGAAAGGGTTTGTAGAGCCCCTTTAAGACGTGAAGATTGGCAAAGATCTAACCCAGTTTGATTGCCCTCAGCTCCTTCAATTCCTCTATTTGTTTTTGAAACTTTTTTTTTTTAGGGAACATAAGGTTATAGAAAATTATAATGCTATTTTCCCCTTTATATGGATTTTCTATTTTGCAATAAAAGCGGTTACTGATCTTGATACAGGCAAACAAAGAGAAGATATCTTTTGGCCGTTTGGAAGTCCATGAGATTGCTGCGTTCGTCCTCAACTCAGCTGGCCATTATGAGGCAATAAATCGGAATTGCCCCAGCTACTACTTGTCTGCAGAATCCGTGGCCTTGTTTTTGGACCATCTCCCAAACCGGCCTACATACATTATTGGGCAGATAGTTCATATTGAACGACAGATTGTGAGGCCCCCACTGTCTCCTACTTCAGTTCGAGCAGAGTCCAGCAGGGGAGATCAAGTGAATTTCTTGACCCCACCTGACACGGGAACGACTCGATTGTCTTTGAATTCAGGATCAATATCAAACCCGTATGGTCTCCCCATCGGCTGTGAATACTTCATAGTGACCGTAGCCATGTTACCTGATACAACCATTCATTCGCAGCCTCCTTCCTGATCTAGCGAAAACAAAGATAGACATGATGGAAGAAAAACCAAGTGTACATATTATATTTATATAAATATGAAACATCAAGTAAAGATAAAAATGCTGATAAAGATGATGATGGTGGTGGTGGGAGTTAAGTTGATTTCCTTTATGTACAGCTGATGATCTATTCAGTTTAATCTCCCCCATTTTGTATGTATAACTAATAGCTAATCTTTTGGTTTATCTATGGACTGTGAATATTCATCCCATGCTGTTGCTAAGATATATGTATGTATGTAAGAAAACTTTGTCTGTTAAGAATCCTTAAAATCACCAGCACCTGGGTCCTGGGTGGGGTTTATTAGCCAGCAATCCTCTCTCACCATCCCCACTTGGGATTATGTATGTTCGAATTTCATTGAGTCCAGTTTTGTTCATTACTGAACAAAAACATTATCGGTTGTTGCAATTGGAGTTCACATCTTTAAGTAGGGTCTACTACTTTGAAATATAACCTTTCAGGAGGCTTCTTTGCAACTGATTTTCTCATTAATACGATTTTATTTTGCATTACTAGTAAGTTTATTTAGTTAATATTGTTCATGCTTGTACTCATGGCTAATATCAGTAGTTCAATAGATACTTAATGATTTAAATATAAAACAGATTTACTTCATAGGAAATAATTGAAAAAAGAAAAAGAAAAAGAAAAAGAAAAAGAGAAGAAATATAGTGAATTTTTCTTTGTTTTTTTTTGTTTTTTTGGGTCTTTTTCTCCTATCTGAGTAGTGTGTATATTCATTCATAATCCTAAGGGTGGGAAGCGGAGGGTACGTATATCAGTGACGAGTGTTGGCTTTCCCAGCTCTGGTACATAAGAGGCTAGTGATAATCGATAGGCTAATGTCACTCAGCTCTTGTTAGTGACGAGAGTCAAGTTTCCGAACTTTTGTATATAAGAGGCGGGTGATAATCGGTAGGCGATAAACCTATTAGTTTCGCCTATTGATTAGTGGACTTTTTTAAACTCGTAGTTTTCCTTATTTATTTATTTATTTTGAAAGACATTTTACAAATAATTTAACTTGGGTTTTAGTCTATTGAAAGTAAAGAAAATATTATTCTTTCATAAAATTCATACAAAAAATTTCACAAGAATGATGATGTGGTAATGTCATTATTATAAATAAATGCATCTTCAATGATATTTTGTTTTGAAGTGAATGGTGAATCACATCATTATGTATGGATTTTTTTGTTTGTATAATATTAGTTCTTAATTGTACCCAAAGGCCTTTGAAAATGGAAAATTATTTGATACCTTCGAAGTACTACGTGTTCATACTCTTTTACTAATTATCATTTATCATGTCTTTTTATATTCCTCAATTACCTAACACAAAATTATAATGCCTCGCTTTTTCTACCAATCATAATATCATGGAACACTATGTGATCGCGTATCCAATAATCACTAGTCTAGAAAGTGAAGGATAGAGAAAATATGCGTAAATTTCTGGCACCCAAATATATATAATTAAGTTATATAACTAATTAAAGTAATACAATCATATGAAAATAAATATAAGAAAAAGGAAGTCCCAAAGTGGGGTTAATTAATTACAATAGATTTAATAACATTAATTAATAATTTAAATTAACTCGATCTTTATCACCGTTAATAATTTAAGATTTTTTATTATTGACAAATTACACTAATTGTCCCTATAGTTTGGAACTCGTGTCACTTTAATCGTTGACTTTTCAATTGCGATACATTTGACCTTGAATTTTGAATTTTGTTCCAAATAAAGACAATTGAAGATATCATTACTTAATTTCAAAGGTAAAATTGTCAATTTGATAAAATATAAACTAATTTGACAAAAATAAATGTCAAAAAAATATTATTAAATTTTTAAAAATTATTTCTACGAACCAAAGATAAAATTATGTAAAACTGATAAATCTTTTAGACATTTATTTATTTATTTATATAATCAAATTAATTTTTATTGTGTTTGGATGATGATCATGTAATGGGTGGTTGTTAGGATTTTAATGTGTAATCGATATATTTAATATATGAAATATTTTTAGTTTTAGATTTTTTGATTTAATGGATTGGTTTAATAATGATATCAAAGTTGTTGTCATATTTGACTTTAGGAAAAATAGAAACTACTTTAATGAAAATAAAAACAATCACCTACTACATGATCATTATCCAAACACATAATAAAAATTAATTTGGTAATAAAATAAAATAAATAAATGTCTAACAGATTTATCAATTTTACATAATTTTATCTTTAGTGGGTAGAAATAATTTTTAAAAATTCAAAAATATTTTTTTGACATTTATTTTTGTCAAATTAATTTATATGTTATCAAATTGACAATTTTGCTCTTAAAATTAAACAATGGTATCTTCAATTGTCTTTATTTGAAACAAAAATCAAAATTCATGGTCAAATGCGTCACAATTGAAAAGTTATGGATCAAAGTGACACAAATCTCAAACTATAGAGACTATTATTGTAATTCGTCCTTCCATTATTAGGTGAGCTGGTGAGCAAAAGGGTAAACTAAAAGATGTATCAAATCACAATTTTTTACATTTGAAAAAAATAAGGTTGAAAGGTGTTAGATCGGTGATAATAATTATAAATGTAATGTAATTGTTTGACTTACAAGTGTGAAAGTAGAAATGCATAGAATTTCATCATAGAATCGGACATAATTTTTTCACATGCGTCTATTGGAGAAAATTATGTATAATTTTGTGATTATATTCTGTGTACGTAAAAGATCTACGAAAAATAATCTCCTGGGCTATAACTGAAGATGAATAACAGAGCATAACTTGGAAAAAGAATTTTTGTCATTTGAAAGACAAATCAAATATAAAGTTATCAACGAAAACAAGAGATTTAAATCTCTATTTAAAAAAGTAACGAGTGTAATGTATTATGAACATCCAATGCTTTATTCCACCCAACCATCTCTCAATTGAAAAAACACAAAAAGAAAGATAATTACTATTTACAATTCATGTAAAACAAGGATTAAAAGGAACGAATATTATGCCAAGTCAGTACGAGTCTGAGTGATTCGATGTCGATGAAGTCGTTTTCATGGAATAACACTACCAGTTGTACTTAGTGTGTTTGGTTTGAGTTTTTTAAATTAAGTTTTTTGAAAATTGAGTTTTTTGATTTTCGTATTTTTTTATTTTTAATGAACATTTTAAAAATTTTAAACATTTTTTTTTTACTTTTTTAGATGCACATTACTTAAATGTATCTAAAAAGTAAAAAAAATTGTAAAAAAATATTTTTAAAAATTAATAAATACAAAAAATCTACTGAATTCTCGTATTTTTTTTTGTATTTTTGGTATTTAGTGAATTTTTAAAAAGTTTTTTTCAAATTTTTTTTTTTACTTTTTAGGTATATCTGTGTTAGGTATGTCTAAAAATTAAAAAAATTGCTCAAAATATTAAAAAAATTCAGTAAAAACAAAAAACATGAAAAATAAGAAAGTAGAATTTTCTGAAAAGTATTTTTAAAAAATGATAATCAAGCATAGTGATTACATTTCTCTCTGCTGCCTTACGATAAGTGAAATTATTGCCATGGAATTCAACAATTTGTGAGATAAATAACCAAACCAAAGTGATGAAAGCGTCATTTGTTATGTCTTCCATTTCTAGCCAAGCCTTGCTTTGGTCCTGCACATCATTCTTCTTGAAGTTTGATTGGAGATAATCGATGAGGCGCTTCGACTGCGTGTCAGAGTCTAAGAAGCCTTGATCCAATACCTCAATGGGCAACATTGAAGGGTAAGTGAGGAGTAGATATATCATTTAATGTGACAGGGTTCTACATGTTTTAATTTTGTCGTCGTTTCCTTTATTTGATTCTGGCTCCAAATGGTAGTGTGTGGGTAATTCTTTGGCCACACTGCCCGCCTAGTAATCAGCTGGAGAGTACCGGCAGAATAGATGGCACATGACTGACCTGCAACAGAAATATAAGAATCTCGCGGTGGTTTCGACCACTCGGGGGCACTCCGACGATCAAGTCAGTATATCTCTCAAAGATAAATTAAGTACTAAACTCACAAGCTTGAGTATCAAAAGCATACCTCAGACCCATGGGGGTGCCTCTCTTTTATAGTCAATACAATCCTAGTCCCAATAGGAGCCTGGCCCTAATGGACTCAGGATTACCCTAATCTGGGACTCCCAGTGGGATTAGGATAAACTCTCTAAGAGTCTTATCTTTACCCAAACTGAAGTCTTCTCCCAATCTAGGACTCTTCTCCCAATCTAGGACTCTTGTCCATATCCAAGTTGAGTTCCTTCTTCATTCTAGGACTCTTGTCCCTTATCCGCTTATCTCGGATGGAGATAAACTCGGCCTTGCCGAGATCACCTCGGCGTCATGACCAGGACACGTGGCACCTCGGCTGACACGTCGGCGTCACCTTGCCACGTGTTGGTACTCAGAAAATATATCCCCACAACTGCCCCCTAGGTTCTATTACCTCGACATTCTGAGGTGATGGAACCTACACTGTTCGTTCATCTGTGCCCCTCTGTCCGAGATCAAACTCGCCGACCTCAAAGTTCCCTGGACTTTACTGTCCACTTCTGTCAAGTATCAAGCTTCATGCTTTCCAAGCTGCTCAAGATCACACCTCCTAGCCGAGGTTCTTGTTCCGTTACTTCGTAAACTCCAAGAGCTTTACAAACTGCTCCACTCACATTCTCTGGTGGGTTCCTGACTTCCAGTCATCTATTTGACTCCGGCGATCTTCATATCGGCATTCATTTCTCTTGGTAGGTTCATAAACTCTTTTATTAAGCTCAATCTTTCATAACTCTTCTGAATCCGTTTACTTGCCCTCTGTTGTCTTCTATTTTCATCTGTTTTCAAGTTTTGAATTGTTTGAATGTCCTGGCACTGTTCTCGCTATATCTACTTTCTGTTGCTAGCATAGTGCCTGGGTCATTACTTTCTTGTTTCTTCACATACCTACTTAATGCCTGTGCACTTGGCTTTATTCATGAACTTTGTTGTCTTCTTGACTCTGAATTTTCTCTTTCTAGCTCTTTTCCTCAAATCCGCCATTGTTCCAAGCTTTCAAGCTCTGCAACTGTCTTCGTTCCTCTTCTCCGGTGAAGCTTATGTGATTCTGTTATTTTCGCATCCGTCGTCAGACTTTGGCAATTCTCATTCAAGCTTCCCTCTTTCTGGTAAGC